GTTTATTAAATTTTAATGACAACAGAACATGGGTTGCTCTACAAATATATTTTTTATTATGGCAAGAATAAAAGCAAAATAAATAGTACAAATACTGACGTTTTTATTTTTTTTATTTGTTAGATTTAGCTCACTCCACAATTCACACATTACTGTCTGGCTAGTCCTCTATTTAAATGCTAAAAAGGCAATAAGCATCCAGCATTCCTGACCATTATCACCATTAAAGCCAAAAAATAAGGCATCAGTATATTGTAAACCAATAAGTTAAAATATTCCTTTCCAGTTATTAAAGAAATAGTTTGGCAATTCATTTTAGTTTTATAATTGCAATATATCCAGCAGTATAAATCCTATAAATGGTGGAAAAACATTCTGTTTGTATTAAAACCACATGGGTCCATTTTTGCCACTGCCTCTCTTTTTGGCCTTAACAAACTTATCTCTAAAGTTTTTCTAAACTTCACCAAATTTTTTTTTGCAATTTCAAGTCAAGAATTATTGGCCATCTTATCTGGTTATCCCTATGATCACGCATAGACGGATCATAAAGATGTCTGTACCAAAATCTCTTCAAAGTGATTCTTTTCAACTCAAATGTAACGCGGTGACGCACAAACTGTTCACTTGACTTTTCGCTTGAAATTTTGTGCGCTCATTGAACGGAAATTTATGGCAACTCAAGCAAACTGGCAGACCCATGAGTATAATCAGCCTTTTAGACCAAACACACAATACTTATCCACTTTTTTTCCCTTATGTTTGTATATAATGTTTTAGTGCAAAAGCAATATATACAGGACATTATGGTAAAAACAGAAAGTCATACCATGTCTATACTGTCAACCATTATGTTTCACAATAAATGCCTCCTAAAGTTAAGACAGGATGAAGCAACATAAGAACATAATATTACCCAATGAATGTACTTTTCATCTCCTCCCAAGCCTCTCAAAAAAAAAATCCCAAACTCCTCAAAGATGCAGTCCAACATTAGGTTTTGGTGCCTGTAAAATGTACATAATCAAAGTAAAAAAATAAATAGTAATTTCCCAATAACAGAAGTGGTTCATCCCTGTTCTTCAGTGGCCTCTTGTACTCCTAAACTAATTAATATGTGACGATAGAGGTCCTAAATTATTCAGCCAGCCCTTTGAATGTGATGAAGGGTCTGGCTGCTAGCTATTGCTGCACTTCAAATTCGATAAATAAAGCAAACGTATATTTAAATAAGTGAAAAACAGAAAAAACTTAAGAAAGCTAAAGCATATACACATAACATCAAACCTGTGATTTTCCAAAATAGAAAAGATAAAGTTTTACATTAGATGGATATTTTTAATGAGACTGAGAAAAACATTTGGATGTGGGATAAACTGGATTAATATATGAGGCACTTTAGATAACACTGTTTACATAAAGCCGTTACTATGCAAGTAGGCGATCAGCTTCATTAAGAGTCTCTAAAGAGTAAAGTCGATTGATCAAAGCCTTACTGGAAACTATATACCAAATTATTTGGTTGAAGCACTTCCGAGATACACAAAATGAATATGCCTGCCTCCTGATGGTCTTATAAAAGCAAAACGAAGCAGCAAGAAACTGAACGCCTATTGGAATCATTCATCCACAGATTCGACAAACAATCCTGATTGCAAACAGAGCTGCTCTACTGCAATCATGTAAAAATATTGTAATTTAAAAGCATTTAGCATGTCCTTACAGATATAAAGACTTTTAGCTACTTATGTAACAATCAACTTTTCAACTTTCAGGGCTTTTTCTGCTACAGCCCCCCGTCTGTGGAATGGTCTGCCTTTACATATCAGGTCATGTTCTTCCCTTAGTGCTTTTAAGTCTCATCTAAAAAATCACCTTCTGTCTCTTGCTTTTTGATTGCAATGAATAAATTTTAATCTGTTTTACATATTTTGCTTATTTTTTATATACAAGTATAGATTTTGTATGCTGGTCTTTTTGTAAAGCACTTTGGTCAACATCTGTTGTTTTTAAATGTGCTCTATAAATAAAGCAAACAAACAAACAAGCAAACAAAACTTCTGATTTTGATTGTCTCTGAACTGAAAAACTCAGGCTCTGCATTTGCATTTATTTTCTTATTCCATTTGCAAACCCAGCAAGCAAATCATTTTCAAGGATCCACAAGTGCAATCCAGCCTTGATTATTAAGGTTATTTTTGCCCTCCATAATTGAAGCAGCAGATGTCATTCATCTGCATGAGTGCTTGTGAAATAATCAGTAAACTTGCTTGACCTTCACAATTAAACATGTAATAACCCTGTTACTGGTCTATAAGAGAAGCGCCAGAAAAAATCTCAGCTGATCCACCATAGACGAACTTTCGGTTTTGTCTAAAGTGCTTTTGTTAGAAGTCAAACAAAAGAATTCTTGATGCGCAAAATACTGCAGCCGGGCTTTTGTCCGTTCTCCAAAAAATTTTTGACCTTAAGGAGAGCTAGTCACAAACCAACAAGCGATTTAAAACGCGCCCAGAGATGAAACATTCAGAATGAATCAGAACTGTGGCATGTAGAACATGTTTGTCTTCATTATTGGATAATGAGTGAGGAAATAATCTCTGAAACTCGCCAACAGTTTATGATCTAAACATCACTAACATTACGCTACCTTTCTAGGCTAAACCCGCTCACCTTCCCCCGTCATAGAAGAACAGACGGGGGGTGGGACATAGAAAACCACTGGTGGTAAATCATAAATGACAGCGGCTCTACAGAAGCTGATCACATTCCAGGTGAACAGTACACGGGAGCACGATTCCCGGATATGCAGGATGCTTTTAAAACATGCTGCTGAGGCTGATATGGAGCAGTTGTACAATCTATTGTACTCCCTCAAAGCCTAAAAGTGAAACATTTGTGTCCTTATCTCACATTCCTCGAATACAAATAGAGTTTTAACAGATTACAATCAGTCAAAGCAGTTTTTCTGTTTTCCCATCTCTGGGAATTCTTCACTTTGTTTGTTCTCGAGAGACTCTTGCTAGCTACACATTTCCTTCACTGTTGGATAATTACATTTTATTCTAGATTCATATCTAATAAACATGATAGAGAAAAGTACAACTGGCATGTACTTGAAATGTACATTTTTGCTACATAATTTCAACTAATACTTAAAGACAGTGTGAGACATACACTAGCTCCTCCCTTTTAAAAAAACGGCCAATAGTGTTTAGTTTTTCATCACAGCACTGAGAGAAATGAAAAGCATCTTGAAGGGGGCGGGACATGTCTAATACTAGAGTGCGATTGATTGGTTAGAAGATTTGACAAGAAACTGAAGTATTAACCTTATTCTTCATATTCGAGCAGGCGCAACCATCGGATTCTTTTTGGCATTAGACTTACGATCTCATTCATTTCCATTGATGTTTAGATGTTAAAAACAGCTTGTTATGCTGCTTGATGTTGCTAACCGGTACTTTTTTATTATATTCTACTTTTTATGTATAATGTCATGAACACAGTTTCATGTAGAGAGAGTAGACCCACCGTTTTATGGTGTTTATTATTCCTAGTAATTTCCCCCCTATACAGGCAACTAAATCGAAAGTTCTGTAATGTTCGCCAAACAACACACACTTCTGCATAACAGAATAGCCGAGGGATGAAAACAGTTTTCAAGGTATATCTCGGTTGAAAAAATTCAAAGTTTTAAAACCGTCAAAATATTCTGCTATACTAAAGCTAAGGTATATGTACAATTCTTTTTATTTACGTTTTTTTTTCCTTCAGGACAACTGTATCTCCAGCAGAAAAGATATCTACAGATGCCACTTTAAATTGTAATAAAGTCAGAGTTTTTGAAACTGATGAAGACAGTAGACGTTAATGATTCCTTTGAATTATTCAGCCTGACATGTTTACAGTTCCAAAATATTATAAATGTTTCCTAAAATAAAAGTTTTGAGTTCAAAGGGGTAAAAAAGGTTTAGTTTTTACCCAGTCATTTAAAAATAATATATTTTAGAGCAATAATCACAATACCGTGAAACTGTAATATTATTATCCAAGATTATCATATACCGTCAGAATCTTATACCGGCCCATGTCGATTGCAGAATAAGGTCAATAAGGTAACATCAAAAATGTTGTTGATCCATTAAGACAGAAGTGACAAACTGCAAGCTATGGATGTTTGTAATTTGTGAATTTAGTCATTCTAGCTTATAGATAAGCTTAAGTCTAACACAATGATACTAACATCTGAAAAATCTTTACTCTGATTTCATGGGGACTTTAATAATAATTATGAGAGGCAAGGCAATAAAAAACATCCAAGTTTTGAAATAAATTATCAAAATTAATTATGTAAAGTCTATAGGTGTTCAAATTGTACTTTATATAAAGATATAATTATATTATCTTTATGTAATATTTCTCTAATAGTTGTTTTAGATAGTAAATAGGGTAAAAGCGAGTAAAAGTTTCTTGAAGCTCTACCTAAAGAAAAAGTCAACTAAACCATTTTAACTTGCTGAATCTTTTAATCATCTTTTTAAACATATTTGGTTAGACATTCTCCCACACAACTGCTCCAAAATAGAAACTAAAGCAAAAGCAATTCTTATATTATGTGTTATCATTAATAGTGTTCACCCAACAACAGAACTCTTTTAGCCAATAGCCATATGTCCACATCAAACACACTGAAAACACAGTAATCCTAGGAAATACAGCAATCCTCTTCACATAGTGGAGAGAAAGGACAGGCACAGATGTCATTAGAGTCAATGTGCTAGGCAAATGTCGCCCAAATCTACAGATTTAGTGGGAAAACTCACACTAGAGGTGTTTGAGTTAAAATCTAATTGTCTAGAGGTATTTAACTTTGTTCTGTGGGTTAATACAAAATGATTTATAAGCATGTTTCGCCTTTTCTACGTCTGTTATTTCTACGTGCGTAATTTAAAAGAAAAAATGGTGGGATTCCTCAAATTGGAGGTAAAGTAGCTCACCATAAGTTCATGTTCAGTGCGGTGGACGCCCAGTTTCTTCAGTCCGATGGTCAGGTCGTTGACACAGATGCCTCCATCTCTGTTGACATCCAGGATCTGGAAGAGCACCTTCAGCCGATGCTCCTGCTCGGGTCCGCCGCAGACCGGGCACTGATGCGGGGAGTCGCAGGACTCATCATGGCCGTGCTCGGAGACCGATACTGCGGCCAGCGTGGAGCCTTGAGTCCGGCCACCCCCGGGGTCCGAGCCCTGATACTCCTCTGGGCGGCACTGGCAGAAAACACCACTGAGCAACGGGGAAACGATCGAGCTCCTCTTGTGCATTTCACACGCGCCAAAATCCAGACCAATTCAGCGGCTGGTAAAGCAGTTTCCCGTGCAGTCTCTCTGTCTCTTTCTCTGTGTGAGAGGGAACGCGAGCCTACGGCTGCGCACGCGATAGCTTTCACCCAAGAAGCGTGACAGACGTGCGTACAGATAAGCTTCCAAATATGTCCACGGAATTATCGATTATTTTGAGCCTTTTCCCTTCAACAATCTCCGTGATATGTTTTGGAGTGAGGTTAGATTGCTCGATCATTCACTCGCTATAGCGGCATTCCGGGCTCCCGGTCATAGTGATGAGCTGGAAGGAAGGATGTCCCGCCGGTACTTCGGGTTCTACTAAAGCGAAAAACGTAGGCGAATCGGCGTAATCCGGCTCATACATCGTTCTGAATGTCGTCTCGGGTCGAAATGCTGGAGTTTGTGAATTTTCAAAGGTTATCCGGTTTGAATTGGCGGTCTGAGTGACAGCTGATGCAACGAGAATGCCGGTACTTGGGCGGGCGAAATCTCGTGTTCGACAGGAAATGCCTTTGGAGTGGGAGGGGTTAATGATGCGATTGACCGACGCATTCAGTTACCAATCACACTCCAGCTTGTCTAGTCGTCACGCCTGTCTCATTCCCCATTGACCTCAAAGGGATAGTTTAGCCTTAAGCGCAAATCTACACCAAGCTTTAAATAGTTAGCATTTCTGTTGAACGCATAAAAAGATAATTTCAAGAATGTTGGACACCGGTAGCCATTGGCATCGATAAAAAAAATCTATGAAAGACAATGGCTACACGTTTTTAACATGTTTCAATTTATATATATATATATATATATATATATATATATATATATATATATATATTCATTCATTCAATCATGTATTCTACCACTTTTCCGGGGGCCAGGTCGCATGGGCAGCAGTCTTAGGAGAGAACCCCAGACTTCCCTCAGGTCAGACCACCTACATCCTCCAGCTCTTCCAGGGGGGTCCCGAGGCATTATATGTTTCTTTATTTAACCAGATTAAAAAAAACGATTGAGATCAAGATCTCATTTACAAGGCTGACCTGGCCAAGAGGCCAACATGACGTATGAAAAAATAATAATAATATTAATAATAAATAGAAAATTAAGATAATATAAAAATACAGTTTAGTTGTTCAACTTTACCACATAAAAAAATATTTTAAAAACACAGGTCAGCCAAGATACAAAGTCCTTCCAGCGTGTCCTGGGTCTTCCCCGAGGCCTCCTACCAGTGAGACATGCCTGGAACACCTCCCTAGGTAAGCGTCCAGGAGGCATCCAAAACAGATTCCCGAGCCACATTAGCTGACTTCTCTCGATGTGGAGGAGCAACGGCTCTACTTCGAGCTCCTCCTGGGTGACAGAGCCCTATCTATGAGGATGCGCCCTGCCACCCTGTGAAGAAAACTCATTTCGGCCGCTTGTATTCGAGATCTTTTCCTTTTCTTGTCCTAGGTGAGAGTAGTAACGTAGATTGACCGGTAAATCGAAAGCTTTGCCTTTCTGCTCAGCTCCTTCTTTACCACAACGGACTGGTACATCAACCACATTACTGCCGCCTGTCATTCTCATGCTCCATCCTTCCCTCACTCGTGAACAAAACCCAAGATACTTGAACTCCTCCACCTGAATGAGGTAAAGACTTTACCCTGGAGATGGCAAACCTCCTTTTTATGGTGGAGCACCATGGCCTCGGACTTGGAGGTGCTGATGATTTTCATCCCAGCCGCCTCACACTCTGCAGCAAACCGCCCCAGTGCATGCTGAAGGTCCATGTTCGATGAAGCCAACATAACATCATCTGCGAATAACATAGATGAAATTCTGTGGTCCCCGAACCGGACCCTCCAGCCCAAGGCAGCGCTTTGAAACTCTGTCCATAAAAATTATGAACAAAATTGGTGACAAAGGGATAACCCATCACCCAAGCTGAGGTCATTAAGGTAGTTTGCAAGCTCCGCAGTGGCAAAGCAGCTGGGGTGGATGAGATTCACCCTGTAAATCTTAAGTCTCTTGACGTTGTGAGGCTGACTTGGCTGACCCGTCTCTACAATATCGCATGAAGGTCGGGGACAGTACCTCTGGACTGTGCAACTGGGGTGGTGGTACCAATTTTTAAGAAAGGGGACCAGAGAGAGTGCTCCAACTATAGGGGGATCACACTCCTCAGCCTCCCTGGAAAAGTCTATGCCAGGGTACTGGAGAGGAGGTTCCGGCCGATGGTTGAACCTAGAATCCAGGGGGAACAATGCATTTTTTGTCCAGGCCGTGGTACACTAGATCAGCTCTATACCATCACCAGGGTGCTCGAGGGTTCATGTGAGTATGCCCAACCAGTCCACACGTGTTTTGTGGACTTGGAGAAGGCATTCGACCGTGTCCCTCGTGGCATTGTGTGGAGGGTGCCTTACATAGATTTCACAGCACAAAACGAAGAGCAATCAAGGAACAACACAGCTGAGATATATGACTCTACCCAGCAATTACAAGTAGTATTTTAAAATATATATACAGTTAAAGTCAGAATTATTAGCCCCCCTTTGATTTTTTTTCTTTTTTAAATATTTCCCAAATTATGTTTAACAGAGCAAGGAAATTTTCACAGTATGTCTGATAATATTTTTTCTTCTAGAGAAAGTCTGATTTGTATTATTTCAGCTAGAATAAAAGCAGTTATTAATTTTATAACACTATTTAAAGGACAAAATTATTAGCCTCTATATATTTTTCGATAGTCTACAGAACAGTCCATCTTTTTACAATAACTTGCCTTAACCTAGTTAGCCTTTAAATGTCACTTTAAGCTGTATAGAAGCGTCTTGAAAAATATCTAGTAAAATATTATGTACTGTCATCATGGCAAAGACAAATAAATCAGTTATTAGAAATAAGTTATTAAAACTTTTATGTTTAGAAATGTGCTGAAAAAAATCTTCTGACTGTTAAACAGAAATTGAGGAAAAAAATAAACAGGGGGTCTATTTCAGGGTGCTAATAATTCTGACTTCAACTGTATATGTATCAATTAAAATGTCTGATTGAATTGTCTTTAAATATTAAAGTATGCTTCATCAATAATGATTTTCAGTCTATGAACACACATGAATATGCATTTATGTGTGTAAATACAGATTGCTTATGCTGTGTGCTGTTAAAATTGTGAATGATACTCCAGTGTACAAAAAATAGCTGTCATAAGAACAGATAAACCTGTTTTTGCGACTCAGCTCAGACTCCAATACCTCACAATAAGGATCAAATCACAAAATTTATTTAAGAGAGACACCTGGTGGAGAAACCATGCATACTGCAATTTTCTGTGTTCAGAGCTAACATTTTTGAGTTTTTTTTTAATTCTGGGTATTAATCCTGTAACATTTTTCAAATAATGAAGGCCATCACAAGTTGAAACTCTGCATCTCTGCAAACTCATCTCTGACAGATTAATCAACAGCAGACTGATTTTGCAGGCAGCTTGAAAGACAAAATTTGATAAACTATAAAAAATGTTTGCATGCATTATATTTTCAAGATCAAGTGGATGTGTAAATTATTGTTACAAAGAGCATGTTTCATTTATTAATGTTTTTGTAACAAAGGATTAGTGAAAAAAAATCTACCTATTAAAGTAAATATAACTGTGGTAGTAATTCTGATAAAACTGCATATTTGTTGTAGTTTCCAGTAGACATAAAAAGTACAACATAAAAGTCTCCAGTACATAATAATCCATTGCAATAATGTTTATATTAACACTTACCTTCATTCCTTATAGTACTGCAATCCTGTACTGATGTTGGGAGTTATAAAACAATTGCTGTAAGTATTATTTTTCAAAACAAATGTTGCATTGTATAATTGATTTATATCACAAGTACTAGCTAAAAAAATAATTATTCAACATTGGAAAACTAAACAATCATTATTGGTTGTAATATAATATATGATTATTGAAACTGTGGCTTGCTTGGAAGACGATTGGATCTTATTTGAAGTTGTTGTCATCTTTTATTAATACAGTACTTTCTTTTCTTATTGAGAAGTAATTAATTAATAATATACAATGTATTATCTCACTCTCCATCTCTCCTTTTATCAGTTTTTTCTGTTCTTGTGTGTAATACTAATTTGATATTCTTTTATTCTGTTGAAAAACCTTGAAGGCAGAATTTTATCAATTTTATGCTGTATTAATGCTAATTGCGTTGCAATAAAACAAGTAAACAAACAAACAAACAAACAAACAAACAAATAAATAAATGAATGAATGAATGAATGAATGAATGAATTAATAAAGTGATTTGGCTTTCCTAAATGTCAACAACACTTCTGTGTTTTCTTTGTGAACTCATAAAACCTATTGCAGCACATACCGTTCAATTTTAGTCATGCAGCTATGACTCAGTAGACAATCCCTGTAGGAAGGCTTAATAAGAAACATCAAATAAAAGCAGTAATTTTCCCCCATGGGCGAGGCAGTGGCACAGTAGGTAGTGCTGTCGCCTCACAGCAAGAAGGTCGCTGGGTCACTGGTTTGAACCTCAGCTCAGTTGGTGTTTTTTGTGTGGAGTTTGCATGTTCTCCCTGCCTTCGCGTGGGTTTCCTCCGGGTGCTCTGGTTTCCCCCACAGTCCAAAGACATGCGGCACAGGTGAATTGGGTAGGCTAAATTGTCAGTAGTGTGTGTGTGGATGATTCCCAGAGATGGGTTGCGGCTGGAAGGGCATCCACTGCGTAAAAAAAACTTGCTGGATAAGTTAGTGGTTCATTCCGCTGTGGTGACCCTGGATTAATAAATGGACTAAGCCGACAAGAAAATGAATGAAGGAATTTTCCCCCATTGTTCTTCAAGTTTTCAAGTTTCCTCTTAGCCTGTAATTATCTTATTTATACAACACTTCTGTCTGGTTCTCGAATCTGGCTGATAGCAGATATCAGAACTCGTACAGCCTCTTCACTCTTGTGTATTACTTTGCCCATATGAGTGACATGCAGAGGACTACAGTTAGAGACAAATATTGCAGCTGTTGGACAACAAAATGTACTTTTGAGGCTTTTTGTAGGCAGGAATGTTGTTGCTTTGTAGCACAGCAAATACGTTTGACGTTGTCCACCCACAAGATGGCGACAGAGACCACATGATAAGCCCTTAGAGAAGAAAAAAATCAGCATAAAATTTCAAACTACTTGATCAAATCATTATAAATCTAAGAAGTGACATTCTAAGTCAATCTTTCTCTTTTGTATGTTGCAGGGTTTTTCTGACATTTTTGCTGTTCTGACATCAGCTGGAGAAGAAAATAGTTCCTCGTACAAAAGGATTTGGAGACTCCTTGTTTGATTTTCTTCTTTTTATATGCACGATCATGTCGTCGAACTGTTGTATAAACGCAATATCACACTCAGTGCGATGTGACTTTACATCGTCACTGGTGGTTCTCTAAGGCACTCGGCCTACAGACTCGTGTCAACACAGGCCTCCCACTAGTGCCGATATACAGCCACGTTACACTGCTACTCGTGATATTGCTCATATAGGTTGTTTAGAATATAGCTACATTTCACAGATACAAATCATGCCCCCCTAAACTTATACTTGCTTTTTACAGCTCTTCATAAAATCATTTAACTTCTTCTGCGTACCATCGTTTACAATTCACCTTACATCTCACCATTGTTCCCAGAAT